AGCTATATTACCCAAGCTCCTGCGGATGTACAGCATGGGCCAGGACTGAAAGGACTGATTGCCAGTGTGATGGACACACCACTGGTGTCAGTGCAAGCAGCTGGCATCCCCATGGCCTCAGCACTGGCTATCACAGAGTTTCCCTATCCTCAGTGCTTCCTGTTATGGCGCTAACCATCCTGAGTGTGTGAGAGAGAGGCCTCTCCTATCCACGAGTCTGCCCCAGAGGCCTCTCCTGTCCACGAGTCTACCCCAGAGGCCTCTCCTGTCCACGAGTCTACCCCAGAGGCCTCTCCTGTCCACGAGTCTACCCCAGAGGCCTCTCCTGTCCATGAGTCTGCCTCAGAGGTGGCGGCGTGTGCTGCAGAAACTCCCGAGGCGGCAGCGTCCACTTCTGAACTCTTTGCCTGTCCTGCCATGGTCATGGAGGTCGTTTATGAACTCATAGTCTGCAATATCACGGCAAAGGAGGCCGTTCATGAATTCTCTGCTTGTCCTGTCATGGTCATGGAGGCTGTTCATGAACTCATAGTCTGCCTTGTCAAGGCCAAGGAGACCGTCCATGAACTTTCTGCCTGTCCTGTTACGGCCGCAGAGGCCATTGTTAACCTCTCGGTGCTCTCTGTTCCAGTCCTGCCTGATCCTCCATGGTGGTTCCCTCCACCATCATCTCCACTCGCCACGTCATCTACTCCACCGAGGGGATCTTCGGTCCCGTCTGCTCTGCTGTGGTGGCTTCCTGCTCTTCCGGCTCCACCCTGGCTCCCTGCCTTCCCGGCTCTGCCGCTGCTTCATGGCTCAGGTCCTCCACTGTTCCACAGTCTGCCACTGCTTCACGGCCTAGACCCACCATTGCTCCATGGTTCAGGCCCACCACTGCTCCACAGTCTAGACCTGCCTCTGCTTCACGGCCCAGGTCCACCATGGCTCCACTGCCCAGGTCTGCCATTGCCCCATGGTCCAGGTCCACTATTGCTCCACAGTCCTAGTCCTCTGCCATGCCATGATCCAGGTCCTGTTCCCCTGCATGGGCCTGGCCCTCCGTCCCTCTCCCAGTTCCACCTCCGCTCCACCACCCTCCTGGACTTTTTGGGTTTTGTTTGGATTGGATGTTACATTAGGGCTTCTGGAGCCGCCCTTAGAGGGGTCTTTTAGTTTTGATATTTTGTCTTGTTTCATGTTTCTGTCATGTACTCCTTGCCCCTCATGTGATCATATCATGTGCTACTCTTGTCTGTGTGTCATGTTCTGACTGGTTATTGTCTTGTCATGTGGTTCTCAGTTTTGTTTGGTCATTGGTTGGTTTGTCATGCGACCCTTATTGTTTGGTATTTATAACCCTCGTGTTGCCATTGTCTCTTGTCGAGTATTGTCCTCTGTAACCGCTGGTTGGTGAGTTTATTTCATGTCTGTATTCTTGTCATGCCAAGCCAAGTTAAGTCAAGTCAAGTCTTTGTTTATTGTTTGGCCACTTTTTGGATTAAATAAAGCTGCACTTGGGTTCTCACTACGCTCGCCTCCAGAGAAATCTTTACACAATGTCTGGAAAAAATAACCAAAGAGGTTCATGAAACAAATCTGACATGGTTTCTGTTGGTTTGTTTTTGTAGGGCCAGTCAGAATTGTGACAACATTAAAGGAATACCCCAAAAAATTTAAAATTCTGTTATCATTTATTCATGTTGTTCCAAACATGCATGACTTTCATCTTCTGTGGAACATAAAAGATATTTTGGGAAATTAGTTTTTTGTCCATTCAATGGAAGTCAGTGGTCACCACAATGGTTTGGTTACCAACATGCTTTAAATATCTTCTTTTGTGTTCCACAGAAGATGGAAAGCCAGGTTTGAAACAACATTAAGGTGAGTTAATGATGACAGAATTTTCATTTTTGGGTGAATTATCCCTTTAAAAAATGCATTAGATTTTTTTTCAAATATTTTATTACCGATTTTTTAAATTATTTTTGTATATATTTATAGTTAGTTATATAATAATTATATAAATAATATTTGTATTTTTTTGGTATTAGTAATTTATAAGAGAATTATGGATATATCACAAAATTATCTTTCCGTTTCTACCTTAAAATATTTTCACTGCTGCTTACGTATGTCGAGAAGTGTCTGCCATCTGCTATTGCACTGAATAACTTCCAAGCCTCGTGAGAACTGAATTTTACACCTCAACAAACTCAGGGAATCAGGGAATTACTAAAAATGATCACACAACTCTCAGAGCAATTTCTCTTCCTGTCTCATTTGAATTTCTAATGTGCACAGAACTGAAGTCGCAACAGTACAAATTAGACCCTGAAATAGTCTGTCTGGTCTTACAAGCATCTACCAAAACCATTGGCTGAATAAAACAACAGTAGGAAACAAAACATCATCAACAGAGAAAATCTAACCAGTGGTACCTTTAAAAATGAAGGTGCTAAACAACTGAAATGAAAGTGAATCTTACGTTTCTGGTGGAATCTTCATTTGAGCATGTGTAAAGATACACAGCCAGCCTGTGTAGACCATGAAGAATGTGACCCAAGAAGACCCTCTGATGTTATACATGATGCTGACATCTATCCTTAAGAGCCACATCTGTCATGAGAAGAAGGTCCTGAGAATCCACTACTCCAGTAGGACGACTAAAATCCAACGGCCATTCCACTCACTTCCATTCATGCTGGCCTAAATGGTTTCAAACGTCTCTTACAACCCTTCCGAGCTACTCATCAACTGAACTTGCACATCCAAAAGTTCTTGGAGGGCCTGATGATCCAAGTCAGCGAACTCCTAATCATGCTCAGATCTTCCAGAAACTTCTCAAATTCTCATTGAGCTGCGTGGAGTAATCAACGCTTCTCATATTCAGGATGATACCGATAATCCAAGTAATCCACTTAATGTTATCATTAGGTCCTTCTTTCTTCGTGTTAAACTCGGGTGAACATGATATCAAATAATCTATGCTCTCATCACATAATCCACAAAACATCACACCTGAAAGATGTTCTCCAAAGTTCCATGGTTCTTGGCATGAAATAATCCCAGTTATAATATATAAATCAAGCAAATGGCAAGCACACTGCTGCAGCTGAGATTCACTTCCAGAGCATCCAATCCTCCATCGCCCAATTTACAGTGTAATCCACTTGGATTACAATCTCTCCACACAGTTGGTTTATAAACGTGGGGAGGGGAGATGGAGAGAGGAGAAAAGGGTGGGCACACTGGAGAGATGCAGCGGATTGGCCGAGTAAGAGTTTTGTTGTCACTAAAAGGATTAGTAGTGATTTCGGGAGGTTGGCCCATGTCCACAGCTGAGTGAACAGTGAACAGCTGTGGTTTGTAGAAGGACAAGGCCATCTAGTGGGGACATGACAGCCACTTGTTTTGCATGATGATATGCAGGCACTCCCATGACACTCCATCCATCCTGTATGATTTTCTGCAGCTTTTGAAGAATAGTTCATAATAATTTAATGTTTCTTAAAGCTAAAAATCTCCAGATCCTGTTCATTCTATGTGAAAGAAAATAAAAGGGCCTCAGATGGCCACTAAGTGAACTGTATACTGTTATTTATCTGTCATGTGACTTTTGCTCAAGAACTAAGTTGTCCATGCTGTGACCTTTTGCTCTCTCTTTTCTAAAAAAAACCAAAAACTTTTAAGCGGCAAACTACTCTATAAATCAGAAGGTAATATTTCCTTGAATTGTATAACATTAGTGAGAACCACAGTATATAAATGTGTCTACTTCCAATAAACTTTGAAGACTCTGAGAACATCTATGTGGAGTTCTTCCCGTGATCACGAGCAGGAATGGCAACATATCCAAATGGCAACATAAGAAGATCAATCAATAATTTATTATTTTCGTTTTGAATCCCATGGTAGAAAGAAAGTCATACAGGTTTTATAGTGAATATATCACAGAATTGTCATTTTTGGATGATCTTTCCTGTTAATAACATTTTATTGTTGTCATCAGGGACCTGATAAGAGATAAACAAGCACAATTTACAGATGATTATGTAATTTACAAATTACAACATACAGATCATCATAATCAAACTGATTTAAATAAATTAATTAATTGATTAATAAATCAAATGCCAGAGACACACTTACATGCACTTAAAACAGTTCTCAGTCAGTGGTATCCAAGGCTCTCCAGGAATATGCTCAAATTCATTACAATATCACATTAATATAGTGAAATAAAAAAATCATCACCTTTTTGATGAATTTTGTGTCTAGTCTGTAAGTATATTGCTTATGTGCCTGAACATAGTATCTTGCTAGCTGTCAAATTCCTTCAGATTGTATTGCTATTTATCTCTTAGCAGTTTATTCAGCGTACTAATTCAGTTGACTTCCATTCATAAAATGGTCTCTGTCGTAATTCCGCAGTCCACACAATGATTTACACAGCAACAGAACAACAGTACATCAATATTTTCACCGAAAAAACCCCTGGGGGAGGAGCTCTGCACTGGCATTTGTTTTGACCAATCAGAGTGCAATATGTAGAAAAAGATCGACCAATCAAATCGCTGGATTTGGGTCTTGTCTCGGCATGTTCTCGTAGCCGTGCTTCTCACCGGATCCACGTGTACGCAAAGGTATGTGCTAATGTGTAAAATTATTTAAGTATTACAACGCTAATAAGCGTTTTTGCTGGAATGTTTTACAATGTAATATTATTTAGGGTTTGTGTTGTTATTAAACGTAAAACGCGACAGATTACGTTATAGTTTCTTTGCTGAATGGTTAGCTAGCCAGTGCTAAGTGACTACTGAATGGTCACGATCACAACTTAAATATAATAGAGCGGTAAATAATTGACACTTTCCGACCATCTCCTTTCCTTAGATGGATTATGTAGTCAAATATAGAGTTAATGTTGTTCGTGTATCTTAACGTAGTAACTTGCAAGCTGTCTAATTCTTTCATATTGAATCTTGGGTATTATTTGTCATTGATCTCTATAAGGACACAGATACTTTTACTTTGATTGACAACAGTATCTTCTTTTTTGACAGATGTAAAACTACATGGTGACATAATGTCTGATTCACCTTGGAGATACTCCACCAGTAATGGTGTGGGCCGAAATATCTTGTCAGCCACCAACAAAGAAACAAACGCTATTTCTCATCAAGCTAAAAGACAAAGGAAAAAGAATAAACTGAAAAAATCCGCAACTGACTTCCATGAAGTGTCATTTGAACATAAAAGAGGAAAGAAAAGAAAATCAGATGAGCTTTTGGAAAACAAGTCGGAGTGTGTTAAACATGGAGATATTTCGGATTCTGTGTCTGAACAGTCAAATCATGTGCAATTCAAAAGGCCCAGAATAACTCCTCATACACTGACTGGTGAAGTTGAGTCTGCATTACCTCTCAGTGACAGCTGGGAGGTGGACAGTGGCTTTTCGTCTGAATCCAGTCCTCCCACCAGTGGCAGGAGTTCGCCATGTGTGGGAATAGACCACTCTAAGCTTGTAGCTATGGACTGTGAAATGGTCGGCACTGGACCTGGGGGCAAGTGTAGTGAAGTGGCACGCTGTAGTATAGTAAATTATTATGGTAGTGTTTTGTATGATAAATATATTTTACCTCGGAATCCAGTCACAGACTACCGCACAAGATGGAGTGGCATTAGGAAACATCATTTACAACAGGCAGTGGCTTTTGAGGACGCTCAGAATGAGGTGAGGAGGCACTTATACCTAACTACACTACACTGTATATACAAGTTTCTGTTCAAGTGGGTTTATATGCTCTGACTTAAATTGATATTGTATAGTAGTTTTAAACAGTAGGGAATTTTTCCCCTGCCGGTACAGAAAAGCCAGTAGTTCAGCTGTTTAATTGCCCTGCCAATATTTTTACTGTCCTGTCAAAATATTTTTTGTTTATTATCATATTCATTTTTTTTTTTTTTTTACAAAAATACATTTATTTAATATTATTTAAGCTGAAGTTTTTATTAATATTGAGTAACATAAATTAAATTATTAACAAATAATAGTAGATTTAAAAAATATAATTATTTTTAAGTATGGTACATTTTACTTTAAAAAAAATATTTTTTCATTTCTGTTTACTTTTATATAATTAACAGTAACATAAATAATAGCTGTTTTAAAAATAAATTTAAATTAATTCGTTACATTATTTCTTACTACTATTCTTTTTTTTTCTGAAATCTATATTATACTCAATGTTTGATTAAGATAATGTTATATTTGTATTTTTTTTATAATGTATAATGTTGTTACCTTTTTTTAAACAAGTTTACAGTTAAGACCATAAATTACTGTTAAAATCATGAAAGCTGTATCATTTTTTTTTATTTGAGAAACATTTAAACATTTTTAATACACTAGTTACATTGTTTTTAATGATAAAGTTTTGTGTCTGTGGATGTGTATATGTGGATGTGTATATGTGGATGTGTATATGTGGATGTGGATGTGTATATGTGGATGTGTATATGTGGATGTATATATGTGTGACCCTGGACCACAAAACCAGTCATAAGGGGCAATTTAGTTCGAAATTGAGATTTATACATCATCTGAAAGCTGAATAAATAAGCTTTCCATTGATGTTTGGTTTATTAGGATAGGACAATATTTGAAAATCTAGAATCTGAGGGTGCAAAAAAATCTAAATATTGAGAAAATCGCCTTTAAAGTTGTCCAAATGAAGTTCTTAGCAATGCATATTACTAAACAAAAATGTAGTTTTAATATATTTACAGTAGGAAATTTACAAAATATCTTCATGGAACATGATCTTTACTTAATATCCTAATGATTTTTGTCATAAAAGAAAAATCAATACTTTTGACCCATACAATGTTTTTTTGGCTATTGCTACAAATATACCCCAGCGACTTAAGACTGGTTTTGTGCTCCAGGGTCACATATATTAAATAATTCAATTTTTGGAAATGTTGATATACTCATTGTTGAGCTCTGTTCATAAATGGCTACTGTATTTCATAGAATATTGCTGAAATAACACTGTGCTTTTTGTTTTTTAGATTGTCGACATCCTCACAGGGAAAATTATTGTGGGCCATGCCTTATTTAATGATTTCCAGGTTCTTGACATCTCCGTCCCACCACAAATGATTAGGGATACCTGTTCCTGTAGATTGCTGAGAGGGTTGTATAACACCTCCACTAGATGCAATGTCTCTTTGAAGAAACTGTCTCGGAAACTTCTCAATAGGACCATACAGGTAAGACTGTGTAGCAGATCAACTTTTTTTCATGAGATAAAGTTGGAACATCAAGCTTGGTGCATTTTCTCTTTACTTGCTGCTTGATGTTTACATACTGCATATTTCTTTTAGTCTGGAAGAATGGGTCACTGCTCTGTAGAGGACGCTTGTGCTGCCATGGACTTGTACAAGCTGGTAGAGGACCAGTGGGAAAAGAACATCCTGCCCCAGGATTCAAAAACTGACCATACCTCAAACCCCAACAACAACAACCTTGAGCACTACATGCAGGATCAATACTGGCCAGAAAGCATAATGGACTGCAGCCCCTAAGACCAAGAGTTAGGATAATGATGCCAATCTCAATGCTAGGAACAGTCTTTGTTGGTTAATGTTATTTAAACCTCAAACTTTTCTAAACATGTTAACAGTCAATAAGGAAATACATGGAAATGTTGTAGAACATTAACTTGCACTTAAAAAGTTTATTTAAATAACTTTGACTCTGTAAAAGTTGATAATGTTTATTAAGGGATTTTAAATATTAAAGTTAATAACAGGTTTCTAAATTTACACAGACTGTATTTTAGGGAATAACTCCATTGTGAGTTTTCATCTGTATGATCAATGTTATTAATGTGTAATGTTAATGACATTATGCTGCTAGTTAGCACTAACCACTCATATATTGTCATACTGACCATGCTGTTCATCCAAAAAGTACTGTCATGTGAAAACTTTAAATACAGAATGTTTAAATAAAGATTATGGGAAAAAAATGTTCTTGAACTCCAAATCAATTTATAGCATTTCTTTCAAGGTAGGTAGTGAAATTTCTTCAAAAAAGAAGTCACTGTCAAACCAAGCAGGAAATTTGTGTGACAAATTTGAACACACTATCTAAGTGAAAACTTTTTTGCCCTCATGCAAAATTCCAGATAATGTTGAAATGATTGGATTCAACCAAAAAAAAAAAAAAATCACTGAACAATAGTAAATGTGACCGCACCTTAAAGGGATAGTTAACATAAAAATTAAAATTCTATCATCATTTACTCATCTTGTTCCAAACCTGTATGAATATCTTATGTGGAACACAACATAATATATGGATGGATTACAGTTGGATGGAAACTGATGTAATGGGTTGTCTTATAATTTGTCATGTAAATGTTTATTGATCTAAAGATTCTGGCTTTGCTGAAACAATATACCTGCATAATAATGAATCGTCAAATTTATTGTCTGTCAGCTATGCCTTTACCCAACAGATGTAAAATAAATACTGAGCAGCTCTGGTAGCACAGAGACGATCATTGTGCTGCAAGCACTGCTTTAGTAATACAGACCCTCACATTCAAAGGCTAAATCCTGCTTTACAGGATTATGGCCACCCCACCGATCAATGTATCAGTGGGAAACATTGCAGTGACGTTTGAGGGTGGAATACAATAATTCTGGCTGCAAACCACTGGCTGCTTACAACTAAAACTGAATTTTGAGTACTGTCTTGAGATTTTTGTGAGATGGCTTAAATTAATACATTTTTATTATATTTAAATATTTAGTGTTTTTGTTTTTATAATGGACCTTTTTCACATTTCCGGGTTTCTCAGCAGCGGAAGTCGTCATAGTAGGGTTAGCTTGAAGAGCAGTGAATGGGAGAGTACCACACATATATTTTTTGCATTCCCATTTGCTCAAATAGCAAAAGAAAAACGCCACGATAGTGTTTTCATGACTTTCAATAAAAGGAAAAAAATTGAGAGAGACTGATAACGGCAGTCAGAAGAGAGTACAATGTCAAATTTACTGTCCCTCCCATAGACGCTGCGTTAGAAACACCCTCGCATTAGCGTTAACTGTTTTTTTTTTTGTTTTTTTTTTATAATTTGATGCAAAGGTGATATAATACAAAGAATAGTGTTATAAATGTAAATACATTAAAAATGTACATACATTAAAAAATAAATACAAATATGAAAAACTTTTGAGGATTTACGATGCTGATTACCGTTAAACGCGTCATCACAGTCTTGTGAAAAGGGTCCATTGTTAAACAATTTTTATGTAGCCATTATTAGAGTATTGTTAAATGTACAAACATTTTTTTTTTTGGGAAAGGTTTTGAATTCAGTTACATAATTCTTAATTTAGTTATATAACATTTTAACTATAAATATCCTTCCAAAGCAGTTTTACAGAGAATGCTCTCTAGAAATATACAACAAAAGCTTCGGCAAACTAGTATTTTGGTTTTTGCAAAACTAATTGCAATATATTATTTTACTTTTAAATGTCGAAATATATAGTTTATACGTTTATTTTCATATTTCTCCATTGTTTTTACAAGTTTTGTAAAGCAAATTGTACATATACAGCATTTATGGTAAAAAAAAAAAAAATCTGATTAGCTATTTATATGTAGAGTTTCTAAAAGGTTTGATGTTTTAAATTGATGCATATTTTATAACCTAATTCTAATGAAAATGCCTACATCTGTATCTTGGCATTTGAACACGGCTTTGTGTTCAAGGTCTATTTCCAGAAACCATTCCCGTTGCCAGCACATATTTTTCACTGGTGCCGGAATCCAGCCAAATCTTATTGGTCAGTGGATTGCCAAACCCTCCCTCACATTTAACCTCTAATATTATTAACCGCTAATATGTCTGACACACTCTTTCTAATAAACTCCCTGTTTTGTTTTGTTTTATTACACAAAGTGTTTGGGGTCAGGGAAGGTTCCTCTTGATTAAAATATGAGAGTCATGATGCTATTGGCTGCAGGCTATTGGTCAATGTTCTCTTTGCTCCTTTTCTCAATGTTTTTGGCTGATTAACATCAAATCTGTTCTGCATAATCCATATGACGTTGTTAATCCATCACAGGTCACACTACAAATTATTGCAGCCTGCTGTTCCTCACCTCACTCAGTTCCGGTGGCTTGAGCAGCACCGCATTGTGTCAGGTAAGTGTCGTTTCCTAGGATAGAGCGTGGGATTTGTTATGTCATTTAGGATGTACGTTGCTCAAGTTTTGGAAACTTTTAAAATATTAATGATGATGATGGATAATTCTCTATTATTTTAAAGTGTTGGTGGTTGTAATGAGGTAGAATGAATGAAAGTAATCTGGGAGATTTTTTCACTTTCAATTTTTGCAGTTGGTGCAATTTTCACCTCAACATGTCAGACTGAATGGAGACTATCACATAACAACCCTGCTGGAATGCTTGTGATATAGCAAGAAATGTCCCAATTATAAAACCCAATGTCTCAGATTAGCCTTCAGTAATCTGCCTTTAAAAGTAGACTTCGGGGACTCCCAGGTGGACACAAAGTGTTTCTTGGGAGTCCACAAAAAATGATTTTACTTGAAAACTTCAAAGTTAACATATTAACAAGGTTTTAAACATGCTTAATATATATATAAAGTGTTTGCTTAAACTCAGGATTAGGATCTTTTCATAAGTCTTTCTCCATAACTTTTTATAGAGTGGAACATTCCGGATGGTGTCCGAGGAGGAGCAGGCCCTCAGGGCTAAGCTGGAGCACCTCACGGTCAAAGATCACGGGCCGGTGTTCAGACCCTGCGCCCAAATACCCGACCACACGGTGCAGAAGGTGTGAGCAAGTCTTTAGAAAGTATAAAATATACACATTTAGACTGAACAAAGCACATTTTAGCTGTCTAAATATGAATTAACTATAGCCAATTTAATATTAAGTAAGTTAAGCATTGCTATTGTTAAATTTTATACAACAGTTCTTTCTGGTCCTCCAATCTGATTGGCTGAGAGGACCAGAAAGAGAGGTTTCACCGTTTGTATCACTCTGCATGCGCTACTTCTCACATGGAGTGTCATGGCAAATGCCCAAAGCCACTATAATTTTTTAAAATAATACTGTTTTTGTATCACGTAATGTAGTTTTAAGTGTTTTTTTGACAGGGTAGTGCTTGTTTAGACTTCAAATATGCAGTTTGTTAATAAAGATAACGTCTATTTGAAAATTAGCTTCAATGCTTTCGGAGATGTGAGCTCCAGGGCATCAGCAGCCATTCAGCGCTCATGAACCCGCCAAGAGATCTTCTGGAATTTACCGCTGGCTCTGATGTCTCTATTGTGGTTAAACATGAGATATAATTCGTTTTGAGTAAATCCAACGGGCAGTCTTTGGTTTCATTAATCTATTATTTGTTCCAGAGCAAATAGTTTTGGCTGAGTTTTGGCAAAATCTCATCTCATTATGTTTTACGTAACTTCAATGATGTATATCAGAGCGCTGCCTTTGTACTCTTGACTGAATTGCCTAGCAACTTTTATGATGGCTGTTGTTGTTGTTTATTAAACATTATTATTAAATAAATAATATTCATATAAATAATAGTATATTTAATTAGAATTTAGTAATGGGAAACAGTATGTGTGTGTTCGTGATGGTGATTAGTTACACTGTTCTGTCATTAGATGGCAACAAAAGAAATGTTTTTATGAGTGAGTCAGCAGTAAAGGAAGTAGTTCTGCACAAAAGAGGGTTTTTAAAGACTCCATAGTTTTTTTTCTTTTGTATTTACACACTCGTGCCATCGAACTGTTGTATAAATGCAATATCACACTTGTAGCAGTACAATATGGCCGTATATCGGCACGTTGTGATCACTTTTGATGAGGTGATTTTTTAAAATGATAATAGGCTGAACTGATAGTTTGTATATCGATTCATGTCCTTTTCTCTTTTTCATTTTTTTTTATTGTATTAATAAAAAATATACACTACCGATCAAAAATGTTAAAGTCCGTTTTTTGAAGAAATTAATACTTTTAATCCGCAAGGATGCATTAAAAAACTAAAAGTCTGTCACGTGTATTGACATTGTGTATGTTCCAGATCCTCAGAGCCTATTGTGGAGAAGCTTCTGGAAAATGAAGAGACTCAGATCAACGGGTTTTGCATCATTGAAAGCTTTAAAGGTTTCACAATGCAGCAAGCTTCTGGCATCAAGCCCACAGAGCTGAAGAAAATGGTGGACATGCTGCAGGTGACGCATTTATCTTTTTTTGTTTTTTTTTAAATAGCTCTCTGTATTAGATCTTAAAGGTGCATTCAGTAATACTTACCTACAAATAATTTTATGACAAAAAAATGAATATGAGTCGGTGCTAATAGCCTCGTGGGCAACAACACAATGCAATTGAAAGGTCCCTCAACCCCCACCCCCTCTCTTTCCCACTTCGCTTCCTGTCTAAATACTGTCCTGTCACAATAAAAGGCAAAATACCAAAAATATATATTTAAAATAAAAAAAGAAATGAGTATGAAATTTATTAATCATGATCAACTGCTAAAAGTGCATTTCTACAATGAAATCAGTAATTATGTACTTTTATGTATTGCTGCATTCACACCACCAAGTGGCAGTATAAGTCCAAAATGACAGCATAACATGACTGATTTTGCATCATTTGAAGATTAGTTAGTTGGCATATCAAACTTTGTAGTCTATAAATCTATTAATAACACATACATGTTAATCTTTCCACATCTTAATTGTTGCTTTTTCTTGTGTTTGGCAGGACTCTTTCCCTGCACGTTTCAAAGCAGTGCACTTTATCCACCAGCCCTGGTACTTCACTACCACCTACAATGTGGTCAAACCCCTGATGAAGAGCAAACTGTTGGAAAGGGTAAATTGTGTTGGACAGTATTTGTGGAAAACATGAAGATGAATCATTTTATTTATAATGGATGAGAAAGTGGTTTTGACTTTCTGCGTCTTTGAAGGTGTTTGTCCACGGTGATGAGCTGGAGAACTACTTCAAGGAGTTTGATGCTGAAATCCTACCTTCAGACTTCAATGGGAAAGGTGCCAAATACGACGGCAAGGCCACAGCAGCACAACTTTTTGACTAAGCACTTTTTATCTGTTGCCGCACATGAAAGCGACTGTGTGTTATTTTAGTTGTATTGTATTACAGAATGATTGAACATGTTTTTGTTTTTCTGAGAGTGATCCCAGCAACAGCCAACTTACTGGAAAAGTCTCCAGATGTCATTAAAGAGGAATGAAACAGATACGGTCAGTTAGTTCCCTGTGAAACTGCATTCTATTGGAGTGCTTGACATTCCTTCCTAATCTCAGACAGGGCCCCATCTTCAGATTTAACCTGAAAAATAGATATTCTTTTGGAACAGATGACAGAGTCCAGACATCTCTGTTGTTTCTCTTGTTAAGCAAGAATGGAAAAATACTCAACCCAGTCAATGTTTAAAACATAATTATAAGAATATATGATGTTTTGATTGGAGAACTTTCTATAGAAAGTTAAAGTGAGTACATACATTTTCATTATAAATAAAGTACACACTTAAAATGACAACTTTATTACATTATCATGTATTTCCTGTAAACGAAAACTAATAAAAACCTTTTGGAATGTCAAACATTGTACTTGAGTGCTACATCTATCTATTTCTAGAAAATAAGATGTACAAATTATGGCAGTTTCCACAAATTGAGTACAAAAAAAGCTTGAAACTGAAGTCATTAAAAATAAACAAAAACATTAAGGCAGTGAAAGATGCTTAACCTTTAGACAAAATCAGCCTGATCAGATGATAATCAGCCTATTTTCTGTTCCTTTTATATGGTGTTTGCAAATATTGCAAACTTGTTACCAAAATGTGGGACAAAGCTTTTATAATAAAAAGTTTTTTAACATTAAAACAAGTAAAAAAATATATATAATTTAAAATAATAATGAATAGAAATTGAAATAAAATAAAAGTAGTCAGAATACTAAAATAAAAATAGGCATGTTAAGATTAGATATTGTCTGATTCCAGTTGTTAGATACTGTCAAGAAGGGATTTTAACTGGTTATTATTCAATGAAAATTCAAGACGTGATGTGAAAAAGCTAAACCACTTCTAGAGTGCAATAAAACAGTCATTGTTCTTATTTTGGTTTAATGTTACATTAAAAGTAAATAATTTGCCATGTTTATTTGTCTTGTATAACAACAGAGAATGACAGTAAGAACGAGAGAGAGATAGTTTTAAAAGACACCAATAAAAGGGAGACATTGTCAGATTATTGCTTCAATTATTTGCGCTTCCATCTACAGGAAACTATTTATTAAATACATTTAATGAAAATAATTTTGCCACTGAAGCAGCAATAAAAAGATACAATTAAAAGTGTCAATAAAACATAAGGCAACCTGACAGACTATTCAAAAGCAAATGTAAGTGCAAATTTTCAAATTCTATTGAACTTTCATCACTAAATATGAACAATTTCTAAACTAATCAAAAATTTAACATCTCACAAAGGTGATTTGATGAGTTATTATTCGAGATACGCTGACATCATAGTATAGAAGAGATACGCTGACATCATAATATAGAAAAATCGATGTAAATGACAGCTGGTGAACTTAGTGTTAGTTACAACAGTTATTAGTCTTCACCTCTTTACCATCTCCTCTTACCAAGTATGTTTTTTTTCACAAGGTTCACTATAACCTTTTTCAAAAACATTTTATGAATCCCTCTGCACAGTTTGTCAGGCTTTGTAGTGATACACCATTGACATCTGACTCAACTTATGGTAAGTGTAATTTATTACCATATGTGCTTTCTCTCAAATTCCTGCTTGAAGGTCAGAGCAAACTCTGGTAAGTCAGACATTTAGAAACCATCATCTAACCTCAAGTCAGAGAAAATGAGAACACCATAAAGTATTATGCTTAGTGTTGCACAAGGCATTATTTTTCCTACTGGCACTGCGGCCTGTGTTTCTCCCATTGACAGATAGCGTTGGCATAACTAACTATGACTTTGTCCATCCAGGAAAGAGGTTGAGGAAAAAGAACAGCGCCTTCAAAGAAGCCGAGATGACCTCCATGTAGTGTCAGAGTGAAGATCACATTTTGCTTCTTTTCTGTGGGGAAACAATACAGATTTATCCTATTTTAGGAACACATTGAAAGCTATTTTACTGTCTTTACACAATCATTTCAGAGGAAGCCATTCATTCTAGATGTATGCTTTTGATTCACTAAGTACCAACTCATAAGAGTCATTATTTTAGGAATTGGCCTACACTTGCTGCACTGTATGTTCCCTTTCAGTCGGTCATGCTCAACATCACTGGGATCTCGATTAGAGAGACCAATCCACTTCGAGTGTAAACTAAACGAGCCAATGCACATTGGCATGCGATGATTGCATCCAGCTGCCGCTGATTGCAGTGCGAGTATAACTAAGCAGCAGGTGCAACGCATACTCAGCTTTTCTTTTCGGAGCCGAGCTGTCATATCGTTCTGCTCCTGACTTCTACTGAGAGAAGACTGAACAAGTTCAGCATGCTCTTTGAGAGCTCTTCGTGTTGGCGGTACGGCGCTTCAGCGGTGGTGGTTTCCCGTGTCGAGTGGGATGTACACATCAGGCTGCACTACCCCCGTTTGTGTTGCAGGCGGCCATCTCCCCTGTGCTCTTCAGCACGCTAAAAGAGCTTTTTTTCCCAAAAAGAGCATTCACGGGTGCATCTTTTTAAAGACAACATTGCGTCTGGCAAACTCGACATTACGTCTTTGTAAAGACGACGTTGCGTCTTGCTACAGACAACATATCACCCGTGTGTTTCTGGATGCGGTCGTTACCTGGCGTCAGGTGATGGTCACGATCACTGCCTCACGTGTCTGGGCATGAAGCACGCTGAGGTGGCGTTGGATGAGTCATGTTCTCATTGCGGGAAGACAACCATCTCAGAGATGCGGGCCAAGCTGAGGGTAACAGTGATGGCAAACCCTCCAGGGAACCAACCCTCGGGGGACCATCACTCCTCTTGCAATTTGCAACCAGTTGAGCTGCCAAAGGAACGTGTTGGGTCCTCTACAAGGAGCATACCAGCAGTATCCTTCGGCGCTCCTCCCAACGATCGGATGTCGATCACTGCATCGGAGGGTGAGCCGGAGATTTCTGGAGAGGAAGATTCGGCTGCGCTGCTGCCCTCCGGGACTGTAGCAATGCTTGAATCGGATCCGGAAATGACGGCTATGCTTTCCTGGGCCGCCGTGAGGGTAGGGCTCGAGTAGAGACGATGCGGTCGTTACCTGGCATCGGGTGATGGTCACGATCGCTGCCTCACGTGTCTGGGCCCTCAAGGTTGGACGATTGGTTCTTCGGGGTGGCCCGTGCTGGTTCTCAGCGCCCCGCCCCGGTGCCCTTCTTCCCGGAGGTGCATGAGGGACTTGCCAGGTCGTGGATGGCACCTTTTTCTGCCAGAAACCGACCTGCTAACTCCTCCTCCCTCACCACTCTCGACGGTGGTGCAGCTAGGGGGTATACGGGGGTCCCCCCGGTGAAGCGGTCGGTTGCGATGCAGTTGTGTCCTAATACCGCCTCCACTCAGCAGAGCGAACCGTGCCTCTCCTCCCGAGTCTGTAGGTACTCGTCTGGTCTGTCCGGCGATGCTTATGCGGCCTGTGGAGAAGCTGCCTCCGCCTTACACGCTACAGTGTTACTGCAGGTTCTTCAGGCTAAAGCGCTGAGGGACCTGCACGAGGGTGGTCATGATCCGGAAGCTCTGAAAGAGCTCAGAGCGACGAAGGTCACTGCGAGTTCTCTGCGTCGTGCGATGTCCACACTTGTGGTCCAGGAGCGTCACCTCTGACTGTGTCTGGTAGACATGAGGGACGCCGACAAGTTTGGCTCCTCAAGGTCCCTGTGTCCCACACCGGCCTCTTCGGCGACGCAGTCGAGAACATAGCCCAGCAGTTCTCGGCTGCACAGGAGCAGACTGAGGTGATCCGATACATCCTGCCCTGGCGGGCAGCTGCTGCCTCCACCCACCCACCGGCCGCAGTGCCCCAGCCTGCTCATGGCCGAGGGCGGCCCCCTGCGTCCACCCCCGCTCCCGCGCCGCAGCAGCCTCGAGCAAGCGGCACCGTGGAGCTGGGCATAGGCAGGCCGCCCCGCCTGTCCAGGCCCCCGTCAAACCTGGCGGTGAGCGGAAGAGCAAGAGGCCCCGGGAGGCTCAAGAGGTTCCCTCCCCCAGAGGAGGGCCGGGTGGAGAATCTTGTTTCCAAAAATCTTGACAAATGAGCAGTTTTCTCTGTCTCTGGGTCCCAAGAGGGCATGGAAAGTCGCAGACGGACCAACACTGACCACACTCATCCTCCTCTCTCGCCAGCAGGCAGCAGCGGGCGGTTCGAGAGCATCATCAAAGGCCCTACTCACGCACCCTCTGCCAAACCGTGGAACCAGGTAAGTGTTGCACCGCACACTCAGACCTCTCTTCGGTCCGCTCACAGACCAGGTCCCTGCAGGCTGCCTCTCTGCGGGTACGTCGGTGGTCCCGCTGGTCCAGCTTGTACAGTGTCTGGGTGCCTGGCTACCCAACCCGTCTCGCTGGCTCCTGCAGACCATCAGACTCGGCTATGCGATTCAGTTCGCCCGGTGTCCCCCCAAGTTCAGCGGCATCCACTTCACATCAGTAAAGGCGGCCGATGTTCCTGTCTTACGTGTGGAGATCGCAGTCCTACTGGCGAAGGATGCGATAGAGCCAGTCCCTCCAGCCGATATGAAGACAGGGGTTTTACAGCCCCTACTTCATTGTACCCAAGAAAGGTGATGGGTTACAACCGATCTTGGACCTGCGTGTCTTGAACCGGGCCCTTCACCGGTTACCGTTCAGGATGTTGACGCAGAAATGCATCTTCGGGTGCATCCGTCCCTGAGATTGGTTTGCAGCGATCGACCTGAAGGATGCGTACTTTCATGTGTCAATCCTTCCGCACCACAGACCATTGCTGCTGTTCGCGTTCGAAGGACGAGCATATCAGTACAAGGTCCTGCCCTTCGGGCTATCCCTGTCGCCCCGTGTCTTCACGAAAGTTGCGGAGGCAGCCCTTGTTCCCCTGAGAGAGCAGGGCGTTCGCATTCTCCATTGAACCGTCTCAGAGGGCGCTTACGAGGCAAGCAC